ACCTGACTTCATTTATTTATCTTTTTTAAAAATACATATTATGTAAATACCTGTTCACTGAGCAGTTCCAGAAGCAAAAGCAAATCGATAGCAATGACCACTTCTGGGGCTTCGATTCTGGTCTCAGAACTTAATTTTCCTCCTTGTGAAACTGATTGATTCCAGGTCTGAGTGGAAAATACGGTGAATAGATCTTTGGCATCTTGTGCTGAAAAGCAAGAAAGCTATCAACGATTATAGATGTCAAAGAAAAGAGACAGAGGAAACAATTAGACCAGCTCCCACTGGTTAATTTGTGGAATAGTTTGAGCATCGATGGAAATGACTGGAAAGGCCTGAAACAGATCTTATAGATATGTAAAATCATGAGTTAGTAATTATACAAAAAAAATTGCACGTGCTCATTGGTTACCTTTGATAGTTACCAGAAGGTTCAAAAAATTGATTTAAAAAAGGGAAAGGATTATGCGTGATGTATTCTGTTGTTTCTGTGTAGAGTTTATTTCATGCTGTTTTTCTAGGGTATCCGCTGCTTCAACTTAGGACAATTCATAAGGTCACCAGGCTGCCAAAGCCCATCGTGGAAATAAAGCCATTGTTGAAGGCGCTGTTGAGACTGATCACAGGTCAGCTTCTGCCTCTTCACCCCTGGTCCTTCTTCTCCCAAGAGCACTACCTAATAAATACCGTGGATGCTAATCTCCATCACAGGGTTTGCTTCCCAAGAGACCCAACCTATTGCAAGCGATCACTGCCATGTGTTGTCTAAGAAAGTACATACTAAGATAGGATTTTAGAGCTGAATCTCTTGTTCCTCAGTTGGCAATGAGAACCCCTTCACGGATGGCAAGTGGCGCTCAGATGGACTCTGGCACAAGGTGGCAGTGTAATTGCTAATATTTTCACCAGTCTGGCATACTGGCGGAAGGAAATGCATTAGCTGGTGCAGGGTGTCAGACATTTGAGAAACGGGGGAAATGGGAACAATAAGGAACAGAATTGGGTGAGCTTAAGTGATACTCTGGAAAAATAAAATAACTGAGACTTTCTTTTAAATTGTGCTTAACACACCATACTTAGCGATGCTTTCTGGAGAAAATAACTGGTTAGGAAAATGCATAATGGAATGATATCTGTCCGTATACGTCAACTAAAATACATCGTGTTGCACAATTCTTCATGTGATTTCTACTTTGTTTTTTTAAAATCTAGATAGTTCTGTATATAGATAATTTAAAAGTTTGGAAATATATATACAAAAAGTCCACAGTGATCACCTTTAAAGAGTAAGAGTAAAGAAATACTAACTCTATTTTACATATTTCTATGCCTTTTGATTTTTTATACTGAGTGTGTGTTAATGTTAAGTGGGATGAAGTATAAATATTCCTTTTTAAGGAATTTAATGTATAGGTATATATATAAGTGTATATGTATACATATGCATATATATATGTATGTTTTAATATATATTCTTATTTAATGAGATTAAGTATAAATATTTCTTTAAGAAAAAAGAATACCATTGTTGGTTTTACAAGTTTTAGTAATCTGTTCCTATCATCCTTTTCTCTCTATCAAAACAAATTTTTAATTCTGTACTAGGCCATGGATTTTTCAAAATTATGTTCCCTGACCATAAAGAACTTCAGTAAAATTAACCTTCATCTTTTATGTATTTAAAACGATCTTTACCTTAACTTCACTCAAGTAAGAGCATTTATTAAATTATTTTGTAGGGGACATTACATTGAACTGGGCCTTGTGCTATAAGGAAGCGTGTAAAAAGTCACAGGAGACCAGCCCTAATGAGAATACATTGCATAAGCTACAAAAACATAGTTAAAAATAATCAGAGAGTTGAGGAAAGAAACTTAAAGGAACAAATTCCAAAAAGTGTTGAGCCCTTCCTGGTAGAGAAGTGAGCCACACTGCTTTCCTCCATGAAGGAATGGTGTAGAAAAAGGAGGAAACTACCATAGAGTAAGAAGAAACTACCCAAACTCTTAATTACCTCTCAATGACTGTGTGAGGGCTGGCGTGATGAATTAGCATCCCCAGGAGCCCCAGCCTCAGAGCAAGTCTGCTCCCACCCGCCATTTCCCCACAGACCTTCCTGCACGTGGACGTACAGCTGTGGACAGGGCAAGGCACATAGGGCCTTCCTAAGAGAAGCAGCCTGCTGAGGACTGGGGACATGGCAAGAAAAGTCCATCTGAGGCACTTCAGGCTCTCAATGGATGCAAGCAATCACTACTGAAGTTTGACGGTGAGGCAGGAAGAGGAAGAGAGATCTCCCAAGGGTCAGAAAACTAAAAGGGCGAATAAATAAATAAAGAGCACTCTGAGCAATTAAAAATCTAGCAGCCGGAGTGCAGAAAGTAACTTGGCTATAAAGCATATGAGAGCCTTGAGATCTGGCTCAGATCCAAGTGCTATCAAAGGGAAAGTCCCGATCCAACCTTCAGAACATTTGAAGCCAGTGGTGACCTAAAACTTACTGAAGCTACGGCAGAGTAGAGACAGCTGACTTTAACCAGATTATAGCGACTTAGCCGCCCAGTCTAGAGGCTTGACAGAAAAAAAGATGCTTGATTTGGGGGAGGGGGGTAGTAAATAATATTACTTCAGTCTTTACTGTTCTTTTACTCACAATCCCATCATAAAATCCAGAATTTTGAGACATCCTAAGTGAGAAGAAATGATCTGTTTGAAACAATACATAGTCAAGAGAAAGAAGCCCACAGATGGCATGTTGGAATTATCACAGGGACTTTAAAATATTTACAATAAATATTATAAAGAATCTAACAGAAATGGCATTCAACATATGAAAACACATGATGAATTACAGCAAAAAGATGGAAACTATCGAAAAAGAAACACATATAAATGCTAGAAATAAAAAAATGTAATATCAGACAAAAAGTTTATCCAATGGCTAATCAGAAAACTGGACACAGCAGATTTTAAAAAGCCATTTGCTTGAATACAGATCAATTAAAATTATCCAAACTGATGCACAAAAAGGTAAAGAAAAAGAACAGAATATCCGAGATCTATGTGGTGATACCAAACTTTCTGACATACATATAATTGACGTTTCACAAGAACAGAAGAGAGAAAATTGAAAAACACAACAACAACAAAACAAACAAACAAATAGAGAAGTAACTCATCAAGAAGAGATGATGGCCAAAATTTTTCAAAAATTGATGAAAGACTGACCCACAGACTAGACATCTTAGCAAACCCTAAGCAGAATAATTCTGAAAATTCACACCTACTCATGTCTTAGTCAAACTGTTGAAGACCAGAGAAAAAGAGTATACCTTAAAAGCACACAGAGAAAAGTTCCAGTTCTGGAAACCTAATGGTGGAGTGACCTGCGTGGGACTGATCCTCCTACAGATAACAATCATAAACTCAAAACAGACATTTTCATAAACAAAAATGTGAAGGCATCAGTGTACAACAACAAAAAAAGCAGGCAGAAAACAGGTGAGGAGTCTACCTTTGAGAAAAAGGAAGCGCACTGGGTGCCATCCATGCTTACGGGCTCTCTGCATTAGGGCACTTCCTGGAATGTTTACGGCAGGGTGGGTAGAACTCAAGCAGAAGGCCAATTCCTTAAAATAAATAGGTGACATCAATATAGATACAGATACAGATATAGTCATACAATGGAAAACTACTCAGTCATAAAAAGGAGCAGACTATTCATACACACAGCCTGGATGCATCTCAGAAACATTATGGAGAAAGCAAGCTATGGTCTCATTAGGTTGAGATGTCAGGGAATGTAATTCAGATCTGCCAAAGTAGCTAGAAATTAAGGAGAGAAATACCAGAAAGGAGGGAGCCACAGAGGAAATAGCCTCAAAATATGACTAAAACTTCACTCAGACCCTTGGCTGAGCCCTGATCTGTGGTATAAGGGGCTTGCCCCAGAAGCACAGTGGAAATCGAAAGTAGGGCAGCTCAAATGGTGGACTGGAGATTTTAACTGCTGCCCACAGAACAGGAAACAGAGTTTGGAGTTTTAATTCATCAGAAGAGGGGCTTGTAACCACCTCAGAGTTTTCACTGGCATCACAAAGTGCCACGTCTTAGGAGTAAAGACAACATCCCAAGACCAAGAAACTTGTCCCAGAAATAGGGAAAAACCAAAATGTACTTGCCCTAATAAAGCCTAAAATCAAGCCTCCATAAGTTCAAACTTCTCAGTGAGTAATTGAACTGCCTGCTAAAACAATAATTAATGCTCTTTAGAAGAAGATAGGAAAGTACCATCTCTACAACATTTTGTCCATAATATATTGTACACAATAAACATTGATTGGGCATTTCAAGAAAAATCTGGGTGATAGCCTAGTTCCCCACAATCGCATGAGCCACTTCTTTAAAATAAATCTCTTTATATATATTGATTCCACTCTCTGGAGAACCCTGAGATACATAGAGAGAGATACATAGATACGTATTCTATTTATTTCTATGACTAATACAGTCATGCAATGGAAAACTACTCAGTCATAAAAAGGAACAGACTACTCATACAATCAACATGCATAAATCTCATAAACACTGTGTTGAGTTTAAAAAGCCAGATACAAAATAATACATATTCTATCATTTCATTTATATGAAGTCCAAGAACAGATAAAACTAACCTATGACGATAGAAATAAGTAAATGGTTGTCTGGGGAAGGTGGGTGTGGATGTGTATTGGCTGGAAATAGACAGGAGCCAACTTTCTGGAGTGATGGAACTGTGCCACGTCTTGTTTTGGGTGGTGTTACATGGGCGTGTACCTTTGTCAAAACTCAGAGAACTGAATGGTCAAGATCCATGCATTTCATCCTGTGTAAATTATACCTTTAAAAAACAGCATGTGAGGGCTTCCCTGGTGGCGCAGTGGTTGAGAGTCCGCCTGCCGATGCAGGGGACACGGGTTCGTGCCCCGGTCCGGGAGGATCCCACATGCCGCGGATCGGCTGGGCCCATGAGCCATGGCCGCTGAGCCTGCGCGTCCGGAGCCTGTGCTCTGCAACGGGAGAGGCTGCAACAGTGAGAGGCCCGCGTACCGTAAAAGAAAAAAAAAAACAAACCAGCACGTGAAAAATTACATATTGCATCAAATTTCAACTAGTATGTATGCATACATTTATTTCAAATATGAATTTTAAAAAACAATTAAATCATTGAATCTCTGTAGCTAAATATGTCCATTATTGACTTAGCATCAGCTGTAATATCCAAACCAGTGTTCCAGTGTTTGCATTTCTTTTCCTGACCAGAGCTGAAATACCTGTAGCCCCAAATTCCAGGACGAATTCTGTCCCAGGGTTTCTCTCTAACAACATAAATGTCATTGGCAGCCTTCCTGAGGTTCCACAAATCAAGCTCCACTATTTCCTAACTCTTATCCTTTTAGATCCCACACATTTCCTCCCCCCACACACACCTAACACACACACACACACACGCACGCGCGCGCACACACACACACACACGCACACCACATCTTGGACCATCCTTCCTTAACTACCACCCGAGGACTGTTAATGCAGATCCCTCTGGACACCGAGTTTTACCATCAAAATGAACTCCCTTTTCTGTACCTAAAGGCAATCAGTTTTCCTCAGGGCTGTTTCCTTCACAGCTTATTGACTCTTTGGCTATGATATAAGGGGGCAAATTTTGAGGTCACTCTGGAGGAAGAACAAGAGTAACTGCAAATAGTGATGCCACATTGTCAGAAGGAGAGAAGAGCAAACAAAGAGTGGATACATGTATACGTATAACTGGTTCACTTTGCTGTACACCTGAAACTAACACAACACTGTAAATCAACTAGACTCCAATAAAAAAAATTTTAAAAAGGGATGAATGATTTGAGGTGAAAAGTAAAAAAGATAATCCACTTCCTTTTCTTAGGCTCTCCAAAACTTGTTCATTTGATTATATTTCCATGAGATATTTTGGGTAAGATAGAAATTTCTGTTTTGGTACCATAACCTCCTGTGATACGTGAGATGCAAGGATGCTAGTATTCCCACAAAAAGTGTGCAATTTAACAAGGCAAGGACTTATGGCAAGGACATTGATGTGAACAATGGAACTTAAAGCACAATGGAACTTTCCTGGGTAGCATATTTTCCGTGGCAGCCCTGAAATCCCATCACATAGATATTTGCTCACTCTGTCTACTGGAAGCTCACCACTGCCTGTCCATACAGATATAGGGACCTGACTCCTTTGCGGTAACTGATACCCCTGCTCAAGTGAGAGTAAGACTTGCCCATATGTGTTCTTGAGTTAACACTCAATACACCTGTAGACAGAAGCTCAAAAGGAGTGTGAAGGACACAGGACTTACTAGTTATAAAACTTTAAACAGTCATTTTTCTAGGTCCATAGAGGACATGGGACTAGTAAGATCAGAGGAGTGCCAGAGGAGTCCCTACTTCTGTTATTAAGAAGCCCCACTTGAGCTTCGGGGAATTGTTTAACCATTTGGGAGCCCCTCAGGTCACAAATGCAAGGTGATACTGCACTTAGACACCCAACTTCAGCATTGTGATCACTGCAGCCTGAGCAGGTTCACTGAAGTCAATACTTGCATCAAGCAGTGAACTTGCACTTGAGTGAAAGTTATAATTAATCTCGTTATTTTAATATCAATTGTGGTTAAAGTTTAACATATTAATTATATCCATATGTTATTAATTCCTTAAGGCTAAGATCAAGTTTTAATATTTTTTGGTGTCTCCCAAAAGACTTAAGACAGCCTGAATACATACATTTGGTAATTGGATTGAGGAAAAATCAGCTGTTTTGTTTTGGTTTTGCCCAGGAAAAAAGTGAATTCCCTCAATCCGCCCAGAGTTATCCCATCCTTTACCACTGAATAGATCCATCAGTTTGATCTCAGATCTCTAGAGGCATTTAATTCATTGTGAAAATTTTTTCCTGGGGAGAGAATAAGTATTTATCTTAAAAAGTAAAATAATATAGGGACTTCTCTGGTGATCCAGTCGTTTAAGACTCTGCGCTTCCACCGCAGGGAGCGCGGGTTTGATCCCTGGTCCAGGAACTAAGATCCCGCAAGCCACGCAGCATGGCCAAAAGAAAAAGTAAAATAAAATAATCTGTGGAACAGGAGGAAAACAGGGAAATTGTAAAGGAGGAAGAAGAGGAAAATGAAGAGAAAAAAGCAGACAAGTACAAGAAGAAGGAAGAAGAAATGTAGAAATGGCAAGTACACAAAATCAGGAATTAAAAAGATACTTCAGTTTTATCCTCTAAATTCTTAGGCATAAACGTGTATCTCTCTGACTTTAAAAATTAGGATAAATCATTATATAATACTGATTCTATACGTTAATAATTACTCGTAATTGAGATTTCTGTTTTCAGTTTCTAAAGAAAGGTACAGATTACAATTTTTAAAGTACTATTTCATCCTCAATCCAATAGAGGCCATTCCATATATTGAGTAAATTCCTATAACGTAAGTACACATATCATTCTTGCATACATTTGAAGATCAAATGAAATAATATCAGTATACATAAAAGATTTAAGCACCCAGTATATGTATGGGAAATGAATATGGGCCAGATAAGGACATGTTTATAGAAGTAAAAAAACTCAATATGGATTTACACACAAAGAGGCAGAGGCACTATCATCATGATGAGTATCCGTAGGTCTCTAGTCCTGTGCTTACTGATGTAAGATTTTTTTCTTAAATATTATATAAACATTGAAAAAAATATTTATTGATTCTCTTATCTGTCCTAGCAGTTAAAAAATACATAAAAATATATATTATATGGAGACAGACAATAAATAAAATATATAAAAATATATAATATGCTATATGTTGAAAAATACTAAGGAGAAGCATAAGGCAGGGAAGGTCGCTAGAAATTATGAGTGGGAGAGTCATTGCTTTAAATTAGGTGGCCAGGGAGAGCTTCACTGAAAAGGTGGTGTGTGAGCAAAGCTCTGAGAGATGATGAAGGAAGCCTTGTAGATATCTGGAGGAACAGCATTCCGGGAGGAGGGACAGCATGAGTGGCAGCTCTGAGCGGGGAGATGCCTAGTGGGTTTGAGAAAAAGCCAGGTGAGCAGTGTGCCTGCAAAAGAGAGTGAGAGGAGAGTAACAGGAGACACAGTCACAGAGGGAAGGAGGGCACAGGGGTGAGGGTCTGGCGAAGCCTTGAACAGCGCTATCTTTACTTTTAGTGAGGTGAGAAGCCGTTGGAGGAGTGTGACCAGAGAAGTGAAATTATCTGTTTACGGTGGATGATTATTCCAGCTGGTGTGTCTCAGGGTCACTGTTGAAGGGAAAGGATCAGTTAGGAAGCTATAATTGCAGCATGTGAGAGGCCATGGTGGCTCAGCCTGGGTGGTAGCAGTGAAGGTAAGTGAGAAGTGTTTGGATTCTTGACCCTATCATCAAATTGTTTACTGTCCACTTACGAGAAAAAGTCCAGACAATTTTAATAATATTTTCTTAAAAAGAGGGAAATAGGTCATTAGGAGCAAAGTGGTATTAACGAAGTTATAAATTTAAGACGGATTTGGGAAAAAGTTAAATTAAACAAAGTGAGACACATGTGAATGACTAATAGTGTTTGACTAAAAATAACTGCTGATATTCATTGTGTTCACTTCATGCCAGGGACCAGGTAAAGTCCTCTGCATGCATCAACTCCACCCCCTTCATCTCCACCACAAACCAATGAGTAAGTGGCTGCTGCTGCCCCATTCCTACATGAAGAAACCAAAGAAAGTCTGGAAAGGTTAGGTTGTCCAAGGGCCACAGCTGCAGTTCCATTACGATCTGTCTCTTACCAGAGACCACGCTCTAAGCCAACACTATTCTGATTCCCTATATAAGGGAGGGATGGGAAGGACCTTCTAAACTGGTGAATCCATGTGAGCGAAGGTTAGGAATTCACAGCGTTTGATGATGTCTGGGTGAGAATGACTCGTCTTGGGCAGAAAGTTCATGGTGGGGAACAGTAAGAGCAAAGTGGAGACTGTAGAAGAAGTCCTTGAGAGCTGCGCAGAAAACCTACAGTTCCATTGACGAGAGAATGAGGATCTACGATGAACATGGCAGAAAGGAGTAATTTACTGGGTGCAGGATGAGTTAGAGGCAGTAGAGATCTGGCAAGTAGAATAGCAAGAAACAAATGTGATAATTCATATGAGGTAATAAGAGTTGGTAAAATAGGAATGGAAAGGAAAAGACACATCTCAGCAACATTTCTCAGAAAGAACTTTTTTTTTTTCAAAATCCAACATAGAATTTGGTTCTGAGTTGTTTATCAAAAATATAGAATTTAGACTCCAGGCCAGGTCCACAATTAGTTGTATGAACTTGGACAAGTTATTTATCTGGAACATGTCTTCATCCATAAGTGAAGATGTCGTAGATTATCTCTAATTTTTCTTCCTTCTCTACATTACTATGATGAAGATTTGTTTACCTGTTTCTAAGCTCCAGCTTAGAACAATGTGAGAGGCTTTAGCATTTATTTCTTTAAAGGCATTAAGGTTAAATTTCATCCACAGCGCATGGTACCATGTTTGGAACAGAGAAGATGCTCAAAATCATTTCCTGAATGGAAGTGAATTGAATCAAGAAATCATCAAAGAAAAAGTATGAATTCTAACCTCATGCCCATAACTGACAAAGCCTGAATACGAAAAAGAAAATGTTCAGAACTTGTCACTATTCTTTCCTGCCCTGCTCACTTTCTCAGCCAGGCCTGTTCCGAGCGTGGTCCCTGGACCAGAGCATCACCACATGTGAGGGCTTGCTGTCCATGCAAACCTCGGTTGCCACTGCAGACGTCCTTGCCCAGAGACTCAGAGGTGGCCCAAGAGTCTGTGTTGTTAACAACCTCACAGGTGATTCTTAGGAACACTGAAGTTTGAGAAGAACTGCTCTACACTACCCTCAAAATCTATTTATTTAGTTATGGCCCAGAATGGGATCCTAGACTTAGAAGCGGAGTTTTTGAT